TTTTTAGGAAGGTTTATAGTGCTGGTAGCTCACTATTGTCCTTGCTTCCCCAGTTCCTTCTGCTGCTGGATCTGCTGCTTCTTTTGGTGCTTTTACTTTCTACTGGGTGATGGAGGTAGTTGCTGTGGTCTCTATGGGGCCAGTGCAGGAGGTAGGTAGAGATGCTGGTGGCTGAAGATGGGGGAGCTGCCACGTCTTCTCCCTTTGGCCACAAAAAGCTTTCTGCACAAGCCTGTCTAAACATCAGCGTACTTCTCTCTAAGGGTACAGGGTAATGGGTCCAGCTCCTCCCCACTCTTCCCCCTCAGACCCAGACAAGTGCAATGAGACCTCCCATCCTTCCCCTCACCTCTCTTTTACTCAGCGCTTGCCAGCTGGGCCCAGTCCCTACCTCCTTGCTCAGATGTGGCTGGACTTCATAGAATCATAGAAGAGTGAAGTTGGATGGTGCCTACAAAGCTGTCAAATCCAGCCCCCTGTTCAACGCAGGGATACTATCAAAGCATATTTGCCAGGTGACTATCCAAGTTTTTCTTGAATGCCTCCAGTGTTGGAGCACTCACCAACTCCTAAGGTAACTGGTTCTACTGTCGTACTGCTCTAACAGTTAGGAGGTTTTTCCTGATACTCAACTGAAATCTGGCTCCCTTTAACTTGAGTCCATTGTTGCGTGTCCTGCACTTTGGGATGATCAAGAACAGATATTGCCCTTTCTATGTATGACAGTGTTTCAAATATTTGAAAAGTGCTATCATATCACCCTTCAGTCTTCTTTTCTCAAGGCTAAACATGCCCAATTCTTTCAGCCTTTCTTCATAAGGCTTGGTTTCCGGCCCCCTGATCATCTTTGTCACCCTCCTCTGAACTTGTTCCAATTTGTTAGCATCCTTCTTGAAGTGTGGTGTCTAGGACTGGACACAAGACTCAAAGTGAGGCCTAACCAGTGCTGAATACAGTGGACCCTTGACTTACAGAATTAATCCATATTTGAATGATGGCCGTGGGTCGAAAATTCTGTAGCTCGCGGTTCCATTTCCCATAGGAATGCATTGAAAACCATTTAATCCGTTTGAGCCAAAGAAAAAAAATCCCGGGCTTCCAAAGCTGCACCCGCTGCCCTCTGCCTCCCGTCCCCGCAGGGACAGGAGGCAGAAGGCACCAGGGACAGGGCCAAGACATTTTGTGGCCTGAACGAAAGGACAAGAGAACGGGCCTGTCCCATTCCATGTACTGAAGGTGACTAGACTGTCACCTGCATCTCACTTCAACACTGACCGTGGGAGAGAGTCCTCCTCCACCACACCTACTGTAATGGCACAGGCCAGTTGTGGAGTTGCTTCTGTCCTTCAAGAGAGGCCAGGGTCTCAAGAGGAACAGTTGGGATGCTGTCATGGCCAACCTCTAGCATCTGTCATCTGAGGTTCTAAGTCATGAGTTGAGTCCAAGTCATTGAAAAACAAACCCTAAGTCGAGTCCCTTGTGCGAATTAAGTCTGACTTCAGAGCAAGTCCTGCAACTTGAGTCCCCATCCCTGCTGTATAATAGGGCAAATATTTTGCAGCAGAGCTTTTTTCTGAAACTTTTTTTTAAAACTGGACATTTGTGCCCAGTTGCGCCCATATCAAAATGTGCTGCTTTGGTTTTGCGTTTCTCATGTCTGCAATTTGAATAATAGCAATTGGGCATCAGCATTATTGAATACAGTTGGAAATATATATACTATATATTCCCAACAGTATTCAATAATGCTGATGCCCAATTGCCATTATTCAAATTGCAGACATATATACTATTGAGATATAAAGGCACATGCACAGTAGTTCTGGCTTCAAGGGCAGGGGAGAAACGTTGAGCTACTTTAGGTTTCTATTCATGTATGTAGATTTTTCCCCCTTAGCAGTGTTGCAGCTGAAAGTATTCATGTCAAAATATGTTGGGGAGTTCTGTGTTTTTCCCAGGAGGATTGATGGCAATCCACCAAGCCACACACTTCTTTATCATAAAGAGATTCTGTCGACAAACAGGAAACAAACTTTTAAATAACACATAATATTTATGTATTATACTGTGCTGCCTAGACAGAGTGAGAGAGATGTAAGAGAAGGGTTGCAATCTTTGGGTAAAATTCCTTCTTTGCTTCAAGAACCCAGGTTCAGACTGTGGAATTTCCAGTTAAATGGATTTAGGAGTAACAGAGAATCTTATCCAAATCAAATATTTTAGAGCAGAGTTTGGAAAATTTACTTTTTTGAATGACATTTCTAGGAAGCTACTGGTGATGCTGGCTTAGAGATCCTGGGAGTTGTTCAAAATAATAATTTATCCAGGCTCTGTTTTATAGGAATCATTAATGATCAGGAAAAGCATATATCTCCCCTTGATTTTCTAACACATTTTATCAGCCCCCTTCTACGATATGGCTTTTTAAAGACATTGAGACTTGAGAAAGTATTTTGCTGTATGTGTAGGGCTTCCAATGGAAGTAAAATGTATAGCTAATCCCTTTCTTATTAAGGGGCACAAATTCTCAATAACTCACTTTGAGACATTTGTATAAAAAAGAACTATAATGTTTCTTTAATTATAGTTGCTTGAAAATTACAGATGTCTATGTACTGCTTTGTTTATTGCAACAGAACAGATCAACAGCAACGAACTACTATCACAAAGAGAGGGACAGAACACTTAGCAGAGAAGTGGGTCTCTCTTTGAGTTTTAAAAGCTGGAAGGAATGATTGGTTAGTGCTGGATAAGCAGACAGGCACCCCAGTTCAGAAAAGTCCCTCCCAGTCACTCGAACTACATACAGCTTGTGAAGTTATGAATAGAACTCCCAACATGCCATGCCATGTTTTGTATTTATAAATGAAAAGGTAAGCATATCAGGCAAACCCAAGGGGGGAGGAAATAAAAAAGCAACTCCCCCCTTGTTTTGATTAAGTAACAGTTACCCTAATTAGCTTAAATGCTAACGTGAGGGTAGTAGGACACATCTACACCCCCCCATTTTAAAGATAAAATTCTTTAAAACAAATGGGAGTTTATAAGAGAGAAGTAGATATAATAAGGTTTTGAAATTTCTTATAACTTGACTTTTAATCTTAATGTATGTTTAATTGTTTTTAAATAGGATATTTATCTAGTGTTTTAAAATCTGATCTTTTATCTGTTGCAAGGCACCTTGAGTCCCTTATGGGGAGAAAGGTAACAAACAAACAAACAAACAAACAACCAACCAACCAACCAACCAACCAAACAACCAACCAACCAAACAAACAAACAAACAAACAAACAAACAAACAGCTAACCTACTGAAAAGAAAACAGGTTCATTATTACTGATCTGTGCTATTGCAGAGGTGTGTTGTAGTAAATGTTCTCCTTGCATTAAAGGTAAAGGTAAAGGTTCCCCTTGACAATTTTTGTCCAGTCGTGTCCGACTCTAGGGGGCGGCGCTCATCCCGCTCTTCAAGCCATAGAGCCAGCGTTTGTCCGAAGACACCTTGGGAGTAAGAAACTTGAACAGCTCTGATCCTTTGTGTTATTGCAAATCTGGCATCAAAAGAAGCGGACATTGAAGAGAAGTCAGCGGAGAGGGCTCAGTTCATGTACCTCATTCATGACAGAACGGAGAAGTAGGAAAGATCTGTGAATCTTTTTCCTTCACCTTCTTCCCCATGTAAATGGATTCTTCCCTGCAGCACAGGCTTCTGCGGTTTAGCCCACAGCGCCACCATGTCCCTTGCATTAACCTTGCATTAACCAATCTGTAAAAGATTTCCTTGGGAGTAAGAAACTTGAACAGCTCTGATCCTTTGTGTTATTGCAAATCTGGCATCACCTTCTTCCCCATGTAAATGGATTCTTCCTTTCTGTCATGTGAATTAATTTTAGTTTGCTGTGAAATGTGGAATGGACATCCTGACTAGATAGAATCAGACCTCAGGCACTGTAGAAAGGAGGCATTGCATGCATGAGAGGGCAAGAGCAAGTATGCGCACCTATAACGTTTTCCTCATTCTCTAGACCATGAGTTTGGAATGCGACATGTCTTGAGCTGTAGAGATCACAAGAGTGTGGGGGAAGTTTGTAGGATTCTCGTGTCACATTGTATGGATGAAGTTTTTTTGCTGCTTAAAGTTTGCAATTTACTATTTATTCTGTGATTTTTAGCATGAAAACGAAAATTATATTCTTGGGATATTTTGGAACTATTATACTTAAGAAGGTGTCAGTTAATACACAGGATGAAAGTGTTTGCTTTTAAACATTTGTGATGACAGAAATATTCCCCCCCCCCCGTTTTGTGTCTTTTGAATTAGTCAGAGGCCAGGCATGAGTAATCCCAGACATTCAGAATCATGAGTCAGCTTCTTCAAAGCCTTAAGGCTGGTCCGAAAGTCCTTTTGAGATTTCAACTCATAATACATCTATTGTTTATTTTATTTTTAAATACATTTTGAGGCGTTGCATTAATTGTCTAGTTTAGTATTTTTTGGGTGGTGGGCACATTTTTGAGGGTAGTTCTGTAGCTAGATGTGTTTCTTTGAACTAATAGGAAAGGAAGTTTTTATTTATGTTTAAAAGCATATTGGGTTCATGAACAACAACCTGGCCACATCTCAATTTAAATATTTGTCTTGGGGGACTCCTTAACCGAACAGTTAAGAAAATAATGTCCACCCAAAATGTTTAGCATTCAAAGCCAGAAGGCTTTGAATCAATTGAGGTATTATAGGGATTCTTGTAAGGTTTAATGGTGTTTCTCTGGAACTTCCGTTTAGCTCTAGAAAGTACTCATTAACATGCATCATTTTCCAGTCAAGAAATACACAACCAAGGTCATCCTTTGTTATTCTTTACGAAGTTTGCTACATAAAATGTAGAAGAGAGACAGCAGAGCAGAGAATTTTTGTAAGACAATTTGAAATTAATTAAGGTCAAAGCAAATATTGTTATTAAAAGAGGATAATTGAGTCCCTGCCCCTCCTTGTTTTTCAGGCTGGTAGATGATCGATGTGTGGTGGAACCAGCAGCTGGAGATCTGGATAACCCACCCAAGAAGTTTCGAGGTAAGATGTCAAACAATAGAGTTAGCTTTCTTGATGGACCTGCTCTGCTTTAAATTCCCTGGAAATAATTATTCAGTGTTTAGATGTGGTCTTGCAGGTTGGTTTAGTACTGATACAAACATCTCTGTTACTAATGTAGCACAATTGGTACATGTTTCGCTGTACAGTGGTGCCTCGCTTGACGAGGATAATTCGTTCCGTTGAAATCGCTGTTAAGCGAAATCCTTGTCAAGCGAAACGAAAAACCCCATTGAAATGCATTGAAACCGGTTCAATGCGTTCCAATGGGCTAAATACCTCAGCGTCCAGCGAAGATCCTCCATCGGGGCGGCCATTTTCGGCACCTGTAAAGCAAGGAATCTGTCCTAAAACACAGCGGGGAGCCATTTTGCACAGCGGGCGGCCATTTTAGAACTGCCGATCAGCTTTTTAAAAATTGTCGTCTACCGAAAAATCGTGTCCCAAAGCAGGGAACCGATCATTGTCAAGCAAAATTTCCTTATCTAAACATGGTTTTGCGATCGCAAAAACTTCATCGTCAAGCGGTTTCATCGTTTAACAAGGTAATCATTAAGCGTGGCACCACTGTATTAGAATAAAGGTCCTGGGGACATCAAGACAATGGTGATTGTTAGAGCCCTGTAGCCTGTTGTACCAAAAGGTGTCCTGGGGCATCTAAGATCATTTGGCTTCCAAACTGATCAGCATGGCTGCTGTGACCCAGAAATAGCACAAATACAAAGAGGATATTTAGTTGGAATAAAATGGAGGGACATGCCCAGCACGATCTTCACTGGTCCCATATCTGCTGCTGCTGCACAGCATTCGAAGACGGATTTTGAAATATTTCAAAAAGGCTTTGCTGAATGGAAAAACTCTCCTTCCACATAGAATTTCACAGATGCCATGTCAGGATAACTTGTGTGTCATGAAGATGATGAAACTGCTACGAGTATGCTCCATCTCTGTATATATTTGGGAGCATGATAAAACTCATATATGGCTTCCCTGACCTGAGTAAATCACAAGACTTAGATCTCTCTTTGTTGGATGTGATAAACTGTTGTCCCTAGTTTGCTGCCTAGTTTGGCCACATTCAGTTGTGTGCTCTTCCTGCCTCTTGAGTTCTTTCTCTTGCTGTGGTTCATATGGTGTACAATATATTGGCCATCCTTTTAGAGTTGAGGAGCTCTGTATAAATGTATTTAAAGAAACAGACATTTGTACCTACGTAAATAATGGAGGCAGGTACTGTAAATGGTGGTGGTAAATAACAATAATAACAACAATGGAATAACAACTATAACAGTGCCTTCCAGTGTTCAGTGTCCTCTGCTACAATATTTTGGTGTGTTCTTTTGGTGTGAATTTGGTCAATATTATTATACCTTATATTGTAGCTAGGGTGGAGGACAACCAAAGCTAAGAGAGAGTGTTAGGGATGTCTGTGTGAAGGTCCGTTAGGAGAGTAAACAGCAAAGATGTTCTCTGGGAGCTTTTAAACCCAGCTCATTGTTCTCTTCTCTGGAGCATTAAACCAGGCAGAAGTTAAACTTTAAAACAAAATTTACTAAGTTTATTTTGAGAGTAGGTTTGATAGAAAAGCCGATGCTGACTAGATAGAAGACCACAGAAGATAGAAGACCGATGCTAACTACGTAGAAGTCTCAAGGACTGAGCACTTGGCCCAGAGATGTTAGCAATTTGAAGCTTAGAAGGGACTAAAGGATTGACAAGAGATGGGTTGGCGGATCTTTATCTCTTTATGAGAGATAGCCAATGAAAAGGATAGATAGATAGATAGATAGATAGATAGATAGATAGATAGATAGATAGATAGATAGATAGATTAATATTAATAAATTAATTAATTAATTAATTAATTAATACCCCGCATCATCTGGCAACCAGGCCACTGTGGGCGGCTAACAACAATATAAGGAAAAAAATTAAAAACATGATAAAAATAAATTAATAAATAACAAATACTGAAATTAAAACAGATGGCAGTAAAGGTGGTAAAAACGGTGATGGAGAGGATGGCAAAAAGAATGGTAAAAAGGGAGGGCAAGATCCTAGTGCTCCGGGAAAGCCTGGCGGAAGAGCCAGGTCTTCAATGCTCTTTTGATGCAGCCAACTCTTACTCCAGAATGCCCTTATTTGGCTTCTGTGGGGGCAGGTACAAGACAGGTGATGCTCCAGAAGATTCTTCCAAGGGACAGCGGCTTCTGCATAAAGGAGCTCCCAGCAGAGGTGAGATTTGGTTTGACTGAGGGACTTCCTGATGTGTATCTCAGAACTGCTAGGTGCACTAACTACACTTCTCTACAGTCTGTTGAGTAGTTGCCAAGTAGCTTACAGGTTAGGAATAGAAGAAAGGTAGCACAATTAGGCATGCTATTTTGTGGTGCAGCATGAACTCCATTAATTTCTTGGCAACGTGAGTCAGCAGCACTTGAAATTTATTCAACCATTAAATCAGGATTTCAGTAGAAAAGCAGGGATTAATGTTGGTTTCATGTCTGTAAAGGCAATGCTGATCTCTAAGGCTTTCTTTCGAGGAGTGTTCCCCCCACCCAGCTTTTGGTGCAGTGTCTTTTCCTCACTTTATAACTAATGTTTCCATGTAAATACAATGGGAACGAGCTGTAGGCAAGGATGGGTAAACATGGCGGAGAATAGCTTTGTTGCTCTAAATCTGCTCAGTGATTAAAAGAGAATTTTGGGCCCATGACTTCCATACAAAATTTCTTACATTTTGATTTAAGAATCACTGTCAAAATGACTTGAGGCATTTTCTATCCACCACCTATCCAGAAATAATCCACAGTAACTGCATAGCAGAAGAACTGTTTTGTTGCTTCATCTCAGAGGCTGCAAAAAAGATCAGAGCCACCCTGTGCTTGTTGCTGCACACAGCGAAAGGCAATCCCGCCTAAGAACAAAAAATAATGGGGAATTGAAATGAAATGGAGTAGAGGACAATGAAATGAAGGACTACCAAACCTACAGTTCAGTAGAATGGAGCAGATAATCTGCTACCCCCACCACCGTTATAGATATAATAATATACAGTAGTACCTCGGTTTACAAATGCTTTGGTTAACGTAATTTTCAGTTTAGAAATGGAAATCCATTGAAAATAATGCCTTGATTTACAGTTTTTTTGTTTGTTTATTTTGGTTTACAAAGAAAGTTTCCCCAGGATGCATTGTGCCTGGAGGGTTATAGGACCACCCCCATTCCTATGGCAATCCCTGTTTCGGTTAACAAATTTTTCAATTTCCTTAATGTCCCGTAGAATGCGTTAATTTCATAAACCAAGGTACTACTGTACTTTCCTTAATGTCCCGTAGAATGCATTAATTTCCTAAACCGAGATACTACTGTATGTGGCTAGAAATGTGTCAATAAAAATATTCAGTACTAGTGAGTTGGGTCTTTTCCAAGCTTAATTTGGGAAATTATAAGGGCTAGGGGCCTGGAGAATCATATGGAATCAAGCTGTGAGAAGGAATCAAACAGAGGAGCCAGGCCAGGATGAAGATTTACTGGGCCAGTTGTTAGTGCCCCATGTCACCAGATCCCTGCTCAGCTGGAAGATGCTGTATCACCTTCTTTGTGTTGATGCTGTGGTGCCTCGCTTAACGGGCGCCTCGTTTAACGACGAATCCGCGTAGCGATGAATTTTTTGTGATCGCTTTTGCAATCGCATTGCGATGATTTAGATAGGGAAAAATCACTTTGCGATGATCTGTTTCGCATACCGATCATCGCATAGCGATGATTTTCCAACAGCTGATTGGCGGTTCCAAAATGGCCACCGGGTAAACAAAATGGCCACTCGCTGTGTTTTCGCCTGGATTCCTCACTTACTGGGCAGCGAGAATGGTGGCCGTATGGAGGATTTTCGCTTAAAGGTGAGTTTGAATCATATAGGAATGCATTGAAGGGGGTTCAATGCATTCCTATGGGCTTTTAAAATCCGCATAGCGACGAAATCGCTTTGCAGCGATTTTTGCTGCACGGATTATCGTCGCTATGCAGGGCACCCCTGTAGTTCCCTCCACTTGGGCTTGTTCCACCATTACACTTGTTGATTTGACATGCTTAATCCTGTACAGGAAGCAGTGTCAAACTAAAAAATGGAACCAACATTAGTATTTTCTGATACTATGCCTAGTGGGCTTTATTAATTTTTGGAAATTAAGAATGTATTTGCACATAAGTCTCTTCAGAAGTACGCCCATGCATTCAGTCAGACTTTCTCCTAAGTAAATGGACAAACGGTTTTATCCATAAGCTCACTGTTTTAAGAGTACCATGTGTTCCATAGCCAGTTGAAGAAGGAATTCTGATGTGGTGGTGAAAGAGAAACAATAAAGGGGACAGCCAAGACATATACACAAGCAATCTCCTGTTGGCCACACTCCTTTGCAATTGCCACTGTTTATTTACTCGCTTTAAACAGAAAATTCACATAATTTTACTGGATTGTTCTATTTAAATATTTTTGTGTTTTGAGGTTTTATCTGTAGGGACTTCCCTGTCCTCTTTAAAACTGCAGTGTCTGTGTTGACACACAGAGTGTTCTTGTGATTTTCAGTGCTTCTGCGCCTCAGTTAAAATCTTAATATTTGCAAGTTTTGGCCAGATTATTGGATTGTTGTTGTTAAGGAAAGTTGAAGGATCACTAAGGAATTCAACCTTAACTAATCGTCTTCAGTTTTCAGAGTGAGGGTGATTTATGGTTTCTATGTATCATCTTCAATAATGAAATAGTGCTATTTCATAATGGAAGAGTAAAGGAAAAGGACAAGAAGTAAAAAAGACAGAAAAAGAAAGACAGGAAACAAGAAGTTAATTACAATTAAAGGGCAGTTCTTCACAGATTTGCAAAGAAGAATAGAAAGAGTGTGTTTCATAAGAAGAAATGAAATTATTTGAATTTGTAAAGGGAAAATTTTAATTAACAATACAAGGGACTTGTAAATAAATTA